AGGAGAGTTTTGCAGCCTTGGGAGGGAAAGGTGTGGGGTGAATATATTCTGCACATGCCAGAGGGCAGACTGTGGTAACCAGACTCCAAGATAGTCCCCAGTGATCCCTGTCTCCTAGTATTCATGCTTTTATATAATCCCCTTTCCTTAAGTACGGACTGAATGTAGTGACTTGCTTCTAACAAACAGAATATGGCAAAAATGAGGAAATACCACTTCTGAGATTATGTTATAAAAAGACCATGGCCCTGTCTTGGGTACTCTCACTTGCTCTTTCTTGGATCACTCGGCCAGGGGGAAGCCAGCTGCCATGTTGTGAGGCAATGCTGAGGAGAGGCTCCCATGGGTAAGCTTGTGAGTAGACTCTCCCCAGTCAAGTCCCCCAGCCTCAGCCCATGATTTGACTTCTGGTTGATGTGAGATGTAGAGACAGAGGCACCAACCTAAGCCATGACCGTGAGACAGCAGAAACTCTAAGTTTTTGCTGTTTTAAGCTGCTAACTTATGTGCTTATTTATTATGCAACAATAGATTAATACAAAGAGTAACCAAGAATTGAGAGATCAGCATGGGAAGGAAGGAGGTGAATCAGAGAGTGGATAGTTTTGTTTTTCCTGGCAATAGTCAAGAATAATCCTGGAGAGTGGGACTGGGAAGAAGGACTGAGATACAGAGCAATTAATGCTGAAATAAGGAAACGTCAAGAAAATGCAATAGTAGTAAGTAAGTAAGGAGGGAAACGGTAAGTATCTTGCTGGAGATTCCTTTATGATCCAAGGAGAGAAACAAAAGGCTAGCTGAAGAAAAAAGAAGTCCAGTGTGATCTCTGAGGGAGACGGGATGGGTATTGGAACAACTGAGAGGCTGCTGACATCATGGAGGCGTCAACAAAAAGTCACGAAATCCCTCATAAGGGATTTCATTCCGGGAGCCATAATTACAAAGTCACTAGGGCTGGCTCTGAAATGGCTGGTGCCTAGGAGGGAAAATGGTGACGCAATCTGTAGGAGTAGAGGAATTCATCATTTATTTTGGAAGCAATATCTGGAAAAAAAAAATGAACTGTTGGCAAATCTTTATACTCACATTATTAAGCAGGCCAAGGATGATTATTTAGATGTGAAATGGTTGCTAGAGATGATGTAGTTGTATGGATAAAAAAGTTTTTTATAAAGTTATAAGTCTGCTGCTTGAAATACTGGACAGATCAGAGGTGTGGACTCGGTAATACAAATGTGAGGGCCAGCTGTGGCAAAGGAGGGAACACCATCTGTCTGGACAGCAAAGCAAACCTGGCGATATTGCAGCCTACATGTGTAGTACAACTGGGAGCACAACGCCAGGCAGTTCCTGCACAGGCATAAAGAGGCACTTAAAAAACAGCAAAGCAATTGTGCAAATCTGAAAAACAACTAAAAAATTTAAAGTAGCATGAAGTAATTTTTCTTCTCCTTTTCTTTTTCTGATCCAAGAAAAAAATGTAATTATTTTTTAAAAAACAAATATGCAATCACATTTGCCAAATAACACAAGTGCCCAACATTGTGCTAGGGACACAGATTGCTTGCCGTCGAGTCGATTCTGACTCATGGCAACCCTATAGGACACAGTAGAACTGCCTCATAGGGTTTCCAAGGCTGTGAATCTTTATGGAAGCTGACTGCCACATCTTTCTCCCGTGGAGTGGCTGGTTAGGTTCAAACTGCCGACCTGTTGGTTAACAGCTGAGTGCTTAACCACTGCAAAAACAGGGCTCCTTCTAGGGACTGTAGTGAACACAAAAGAAACCCTGGCCCTGAGGCGCTTATGAGCCAGTGGGAGACCCAAGCTCTACATGCATAAACAACTAGACAAAGACTCAAGATAGGACAGTGCTTGACAAGAAGGTCCTCCTTGTGGTGGTGAGATGTGTTCCAGAAGGAGAAGAGCAGCAGGAGAGAGAGGATGGGAGGACGGGGAGCACTCTGAGGAGCCAGAAAGACTGGCTGGGCAGCCAGGGATGAACAAGGAGAGACGCCAATCCTGAACATCAAGGCAGGGGAGCCTTTCAAGGAGGGAACTGCAGGGAAGATAAAGGATGGGGCTGGAGAGGGGAGATAGGACACTCACCGGTCATGAGAGAGCTCCACAGGCACAGTGTCAGGGAGCTGATGGCTCACAAGCTCAGACACAAAGGGTTGAGGGTGAGAAAATTAGGGTAACTGATATAGTCATTCATTCCTTCATTTCACAAATAAACCCATTGCTGTCGCAAGTCAATTCCAACTTAGAGCGTCCTGTAAGACAGAGTAGAACTACCTTATAGGGTTACCAAGGAACAGCTGGTGGATTCGAACTACCGACCTTTTGGTAGGCAGCTGAGCTCCTAACCACTGCGTCACCAGGGCTCCCATTTCACAAACAATGAGTGCCAATCAGGAGCAAGGTTCTGTGGACATGTGCAGATAAAACTCTGTCCTCAAGGTATGGAAGCCTGGTAGAGGGGTGAGACCTAGATGGACAATAGTCATCTGAGGCAGAGAGGCACGAACAGATGTCCTTGTACGTTCAGAGAAAGAGGAGACCCCCTCTGGCCAGGGGAATGAGGTTAGGCTCAGAGAAAGCGGCTGGGGCATTTTGTCGGGCAAGGACTTGGACTCTTCAAAGCAATTAGGCGGTGTAAGAAATTGGGTAGAGCAAGAGGAAGGTGGTTAAAATGGGCAGCAAAATGTTAAGCTTTTGCTTTTTTTTTTTCCTCAGCAGAAAATAGCCATGGCATGTGCCTGACAAAGCACGTGAGGATGAGGACGTAGTTAACTCAATTTTCTCAAGTTGAAAGAGGAAGGACAGGTGAGAAGGGAAGTGGAAGCAGCAGCACCCTCAGCAGCCTGGTTCACAGCCAGTCTTGACTTCAGTACCCATCTCTCTGGGCCTCAGGTTCTTTGTAAAATGGGGTACTATTACCTCATAAAGTTGCTGTGAGGATTGTTAGCTACAGTGTGCCTGGTCCATGGTAACCAAACCAAAAACCCACTGCCGTCAAGTTGATTCTGACTCATAGCAACCTTATACGACAGAGTAGAACTGCCCCACAGGGTTTCCAAGGAGCGGCTGGTGGATTTGAACTGTTGACCTTTTGGTTAGCAGACAAGCTCTTAACCACCGCAACACCACGGCTCCAGTCCATGGTAAGTGTTCAATAAATGGTTTCCAATATTGCTGAAACCTGGGTAGCTGAAAGATAGGTGAGTGCTCAGAGAAATGAGGCTGAATTTCACTCCCTCCTCTCCCCCTTTTCCTCATCTCTCTCTGTTCTCTGCCATTTATCTAAAAGCCAAGAAGGAAGGAGCTAAAAAACAGGTGGAGATTTAGCGCTGCTAATGGTTCCACCAATAAAGAGACGGTAAAGATGTGGGCTCAGGTGAGTCTATTAATGTAAATTTATTCTTTCACTAATGGGTCCAGAAAAATTGATGAGCAAGCAAGAAGAAAATCAAGGGAGGAAATAAAGAAAAAGAAAGCTAAAGAAAGTTCTGTACAAAGAAGAATATTTGGAAATAAGTTCTGCATGTAGGCATTGGTTGGGGCAAAGGTCAAAGAAGACATGACTACTGGTGTGGTTGGTGGGATAAATGAAGGTACATTAAGCCCTACCTTGGGGAAATAAATTAACAAGCTAAGGATGTCAACCTGTAGGCCTTTGGAAGAATGGTTAAAATTGAAAGTGGTAAGGGCCTTTGAGCAAAAGAGTCACTGGCTGCAGAGAATACATATGTATACTTTTCTGCATTCCTCTTCCCACAAAATAAAAATCATGAACAAAATAAAAAAGACTTGAGGTACATTTCACTATAATGATTAGTACCTGAGTACATACTCTTTGTCACACAGTGTTTGCAGTGCTTAAGAACTATTCACTCATTTAATCCCCACTATAATTCTATGAAGAAGACACAGTTATTATCACTGTTTTACAAAAGAGACTGAGCTACAGAGAAGTTCAGTAATTAGCCCAAGATCACACAGCTTGTAAGCAACCACTACATTAAACCGCTTCTCGCAACTATCCTTATCCTGGCCACAAACTTTGGGTAGAGTCACCCTCTAGTGGTTAAGAGCTCAGGTTACTTACCAAAAGGTCAGCAGTTCAAATCCACCAGCTGCTCCTTGGAAACCCTATAGGACAGTTCTATCTGTCCTATAGGGTCACTATGAGTCAGAATCAACTCGACAACAACGGGTTTGGTTTGGTTTACAATGAGAATAAGACCACAAACCAGCACTATGAAGACGATGACAGTAAATGGTTCTTTAAAAAGCAGAAAATAGTGATCGCATGGTTTTACCAATCAGATAGCTGCAAATGAATGTGAGGAGCATTTCAAACGCCAGTAGAAAGATCAAAAAGGCAAGCAAAAAAAGAAAGCAAATTTTATCCAAATGGTCACTTGTGCAAATACAGAGGCAACAAATCCCCTGCTAAATCTGCAGAGGACAGACCACAATGATGGGTAGAAACAAGGCACTAGGAGCGCGCTGGCAGCATGGCATGAAACTGTGATCATGGTTTGTGTGTGGGATAATCTTGCATATCTTTATGCTAATTGTCTCCTTCTCGGAACTTTACCCTAAAGAATACAGCTGGATGTTTGGGGAGAATATAATACAGGAGTCCAAAATATCATTATTATAAAATATATTTGTATATTTATATTATAATAAAAATCTAATGCTGTAGAGGGGTGAAAGAAGGAGCGCTGGTGGCCCAGTGGTTAAGCTCTTGACTGTTAACTGAAAGGTTGGTGGTTCAAACCCATCAGCCTCTCTGCAGAAGAAAAGACCTGGCGATCTGCTCCTGTAAAGATTACAGCCTAGGACACCCTTTGGGGCGGTTCCACTCTGTCCTAGAGGGTCTCTATGAGTTGGAAACAACTCCGCAGCACACAACAACAACAACAACAGGGGTGAAAGAGGGTGATTTCAGAATCCAACAACTATGACTCTCCCATAGTGATTGTCACCTGTTTGGTTTTCTTTGATGGGGCAGGAACTGGAGCTGTCTCCTGCTGCATCATTTCTGTGTCTCCTCCTTCTTCTTCACCATCTGATGTTTCTAGGAAACATAAAGTTTAAAAATTAGAAAGGGATCTCTCTCTTTCTCTCTCCTTTCTACTGTTGGTACAACATTTCTAGAAGGTTCTATCTGTTGACTTAATAATTCCACCTCTAGGAAGCTGAATTTATGGAAGTGATCCCAAATGAAGACAGAGACTTAAGCACCGAGATCAGTCTTATTTATAAAACAGAAAAACTAAAGATTACCTAGATGTCTAACGTTAAAAAAAAACAAAACAAAACTCACTGCCACCGAGTTGATTCCGACTCATACTGACCCTATAGGACAAAGTAGAACTGCCCCATAGGGTTTCCAAGGAGCACCTGGTGGATTCAAACTGTCGACCTTTTTGTTAGCAACCGAACTCTTAACCACTACGCCACCAGGGTTTGTGTCTAACATTAGGAAATCTCAAATAATTGTGGAATACTCATATAATAAGCCTTCTGGCAGCCTTAAAAAATGTTTATTAAGAGCTTAAAATGACAAAAAGCCATCTTAATAATAAACAATCAGAACTACCATTATAGAGCTGTTGCTTCATGTTTATATCAGGTTTCATATAGACACTATCATATTTAATTCTTACAATATTACTCTGGATTTTACAGACATTACACGCCCCATTTTCAGATAAGAAAACAGTCATTTAGAGAGGTGAAGTAATTTGCCCCAGTTCAAACACCTGGGAACCCCTGGACTTCCAACTTACTTCCCTGTAAGTTATAATGCTTGCAGCCCCAGCCAGCCCCTGAGACCCAGGTGCTGGCCCCCGGGGAAATGTTAAGTGGTTGTGGTAAAGGGATTACAGGTCATCATAAATTCTTATATTGAATTTTCTTCATTTTTGCACAATGGAAAAAATAAACTCTTATTGTAAGAATCAGGAAAAACAAAAGTTGTAACAGTAGGACTTCCAGGCAACATGGCACTATAGTCAGAAGCACCATGCCGTCTCTCCTCAGCAAAGATCAGAAAAACTAAGTCAAACAGTCACACGTCAATCCTGAAACCCTAACCATCAAATGAAGAGATAAAGAACTCAGCCAAGCACCGAATGGAATAAGAAAATGACCGAGAACAGAGCACGAGGAAAGATACATGCAGAGGTCCCCTATCAGCTACCGCAGCATGGATCCGCCATCTTGGACTCCTATCGGAGATCAGTGAACAGGAGGTAGGAGAAAGCAGCTTCACGGAGCTTCCAGCAGGAGACAGAACAACCGGTAGGACATCCCTGGGGGCATATTTCTTTTTTCTTGCTTTTGGGTTTTTTTTCCCATTTCTTTGTTTAGTTTTCTTCTCTCTCTTATTCCCTTTTTGTCTTTCTTAATTTCCAGTAATTGATTCATTTTTTTCTTTTACCCTTTTTCTTTTTTTTTTCATTTTTGTTTTTCCCCATTTCTTAGTCTCTCATCTCTCCACTCCAATAGCAAGCTCCCTTAGCACTTTTTTTTGTTTGTGTGTATGTCTTTGGCTCCTGTTCCTCTCTCCTCTCTCTCATCTTTCCCATACCCATCTTAGCTCCACACATCACAATCTACCACCTTCTTCCTGCCTACTTGCACTGTGTGCTGAACATCACACTCCCAAGCAACACAGGCACGGCCTACTGGAACCTGCCCTGCACTGATTCCTGGTCCGCACTGTCAGCCCTAGTATGTGCCACAAAAAACCTATCCCAGCAACTCCCCTTTAGCTGGACCTGCCCTGCTGTACCAGCCCTGAGTGACTGACCCTGCCCATTGGAGAAGTAGGTGAAAAGTATCATGCCCACAGACGAGCAAACAACCAAGAACGCACAGCCTGCCTGCTCGGACATAACCAAATAAAACAAAAAAGCATGATGAAACAAACAAATCTACAATCAATAAGTGAGGAAAATAACCATTGAATGCCCTGAAGACAGCAGACAGTATCAAAACATTTACAAAAACTAGACAGGATGGTTCCAGTAGGCATCCAAAATAAAACACCAGATGACCTTCCAGTAGAAGAAAAGGCACTAGACATAACTGATAGAGAATTCAAATCTCTAATATTTAGAATTATCCAAGAGTTGAAGCCAAAAACAGACAAAAATGAGGAAAAAATAGACAAATTCATGGAAAATACAGGAAAAAAAAATGGAAGAATTCAAGAAAATAATACCGGAACAAAATCCTAAAATAAATTCACAACTAGAAACCACACAAAAACGACAATTAGAAATCCAAAAGATAAACAACAAGATTTCAGAAATGGACAGTGTCATAGAAGGGCTGAGGAGCAAGTTTGAAATGATGGAAGATAGAACAGCAACATTGAAGACAAACACTTGGATACAACTCTGTTTGAGGAAGAATCAGAAACGATAACGGAGCAAAATGAAGAAACCCTGAGAATTATGTGGGATACAGTCAAATCAAAAATCTGCGAGGGATCGGAGTTCCAGAACAGGGGGAGAAAAAAGAAAACACAGAGAGGATCATTGAAGAATTGCTGGCAGAAAACTTCCCCAATATCATGAAAGAAGAAAAGCTGACCATCCAAAAAGCTCAACAAACCCCGTATAGGATAGACCCCAAAAGAAAATCACCAAGGCGTATCATAATCACACTTGCTAAAACCAAAGACCAACAAAGTATCCTGAGAGCAGCTTGAGAAAAACAGAAAGTCACATACAGAGGAGAAACAATACGACTAAGCTCAGATTATCTGCCAGAAACCATGCAGGCAAGAAGGCAACGGAATGACATATATAAAACCTTGAAAGAAAAAAATTGCCAGCCAACAATAATATATCCTGCAAAACTCTCGTTCAAATGTAATGGTGAAATTAGGTCATTTCCAGATAAACAGAAATTAAGGGACTATGTAAAAACCAAAACGAACTTAAAAGACTTATTAAGGAAGTCCTTCGAGCTGAGAACAAACAATATCAGACCACAGGCTGAATATAGGACACAGGATTGTACTAGCCAGATACCAACCTAGGAAATGAACTCTTAAGGACTATGCAAAACC